ATATATATATATATATATATATATATATATAAATTGACAAAATTTATCTGGTTACCAAAAAATACTGTAAACATTGTTGAAACATAACAAATACATAGAATAATTTTAAAAAAGTGAATAAAAAAGAAAACAAGTGCATTTTTCACCGACTCCGTCGATTTCACTGTTTTCATTTTTTGTTAAATTTGTTTCTATTATTCTGTTTGAGCAAATACATGAAACATTTTTCCAAGCAATCAAACAAAAAAAAAAAATAAATAATTATTTCGTATACTTGGAATGCTGAAAGAGCATAGATGCGTTCAAGACAGAAATTCGGTATAAACTTAAGTTGGAACGCTTGAAACACTGCTGATTGTGATGGTAGTGCTTTAGGTTGATGCAGCCGCTGTTGCTGCTGGCTGGTACTGCGGTTGTTGATTAACTGACGAAAAAAAAAAATTGCATACCTTTAAGATAGTAAAAATCACGTAATTGTTGCTGTTGTAGTAAAAATTTCTATATTTTTTCTTATTGTTACGGAAGAGCGGAATAATGATCAGTTTTCAAAAGTAAAGTTTGCCTATTGCTTTTAATATCACACAGAAATTTTCTTTTTACACTGGTCTCTTACTGCTACTTTTGTTCTGATCATATGACTGTTTTGAACGTGACTAGTTTCCGCAATTTATACGGGCTTAATTCTTGGACGCATCAATAAGGCCTTAGATTCTTTTTTTGTTGCAGTAACACTGTTATTCTTTGAGGTAGGTATACCAGTATGCAATGTTGAATAAAGCAAATAATGACGGGAAGCAGTACACTGAAAATTTGTCGATTTGAAAGGCCAAATAGTCCTGAAAAATAAATTTGTCGTAAATAAGCAATAAATCAAACTGTATCTTTTTCTTCTATACTTTACTTGTCAGTTTGCTTACTGATCCTTATAATTTTGTTAAAAATATACAGATAAGAGTTCGTGAATTACTGTTTGTGAGTGAAAATTTGAAATAGTCATAACGGCCCAACAGAAGTCGACAGTGAAAATTCAACTTTTGAGGCAGTCGATGCAAAAGATTTTTCACAATATCAAGATTCATAAAACCAGATTTTAGTTGTATTATCATTAGAAAGGCATTTTATAGAGCGTAAAAGCTAAAAATGCAATAAAGGTACAGAAAACATAATCAAAGATTGAGTCATGTCAATTAAAAAAACTGATTACAGAGCCTAATACAAAATGCAGCTATCCGTACAATATTCTTAAGAAATGCTAAAGAAAGAACAGTAGCTGAGGCCAACAGCAAAAGCGGTATTTGCTGCTGTATTTAAATAAGCATGACGGTTCAAAGAATCTGGCTGGTTTCCGAGGTTGCCAACAAGGTTATCCAAAATTCTACTTTTTTTGTGATGAAGGCTTGGAGCTTGAATGCATTGATAAAGTTCGTAATATGCCAGTGTCATCATTGTAGCTTTTCAATGTTTCACTTCCTAAGATATCATTTGGATAGGTGCATTTCGTATAACGCTTGATGGGTCCCATAGCCAATACCCACAAGGTCAGGTTTGGGGCGTAAATATTTCATGAAACTAGGTCCCTACTGTGGTTCATTTTTTGTTTACCAGTGCCCTCGCCCCAGAGCTATCATTTCATCTCTCAAATATGAAAAATGAAATGGAGACAAAACAAAACCATACTCGTCGTTTCCGTCTGAGTGTATCTTGTGATGGAACTGATGACGATACCGGTATCGACGGTCTATGGTTATTGCTTTTAACACACGGACATGATTCGGCAACAGGCACAGCCGGATTTTTCAATGTTCCATTGAGCCCATATCCTGGTGGTATATAGCCATAATCATTGTCTCTTACCAAATTCACCAAAGCAGTTTCTTCTGGTGGCACACCAACTCGTCTTAAAACAGTAAGGTTTGTTTTGAATGATTCTAGAATTACTAAACAACAACAGGCTAAAA